TACAAACACTGCCTACCTCTTTGTGATGTATTGTATGTACGAGCAAGCACAGCGGTATAAATGTATGGTGTATAGCTGGGATGGACAAATTGTTCACCAAAAAAGGTTGTCAGACAAACATTATGACCCAAAAAAGAGCCACAAACCTTTAAAAAATTCTCCCCCGGTCGAAAAAATTTGCTATTTAATAACATATGCGGCCCTTCATAGGTAGAATAGTTCTCGATGCGGCCCTCACAACAAAAAGTTTGCCCACCCCTTAGGTATGTCAGTTTTAGAGTTTCGTCAAGACAGTATTCGAACCAAAACGTCACGTAATGGAATGAATAAAATGGTGATTACTATTTTAAAAGGTTGATAAAAGTTAATTAGAATTAATTAATGATGGTAGTGATAGTGATGACGAAATTAATTAATTAATTAATTTTTATCACATTTTTCAGCTCAATTAAACAGACCTTGTAGAAACTTACCAAGCAACATCAACAACAACATCAACAACAACAAGTGGAAGCAACAACAACATCATCATCATCGTCAACATCAACAACAACAATCATCATCATCATCTTCATCAATGGAGTGTTTGATGACGATCCTTATTTTTATTATCGTTTTTATTATTTCTCTTGCCTCTTGTTAATGATGATAGTTTAGATAATGTTGATGATGATAATGATAATAATAATAATAATAATAATAATAATAGTGGTGACGACATAGAATAAGGTCGATAATTTAAATATAATCGATATATACAATACATATAATGTAACCATTTACATATTTTTAGCATGTATTGTGTATGTATAAGAAATAAATAAATAAATATAATGAATACAACAAACAGACGCTTATGTGTGTTTGTGCGTGTGTGTGCGTGTGTGTCTGTGTGTGTCTGTGTCTGTGTGTGTATGTGTGCGTGTGTGTGTTCGTGTTTTTATTTCTTCAGTGCATCTTGTCTCCGTAGAAATAAATGAATGAAAAACTACTCTCGAAATCGTTATTTATAAATCGCGTGTATTGGAACATCACTCAATCAATCACTCAATCAATCACTCAATCAATCAATCAATCGATCAATCAATCAACCAATCAATTAATCACTCACTTAATCAATCAATCAAAAACTAGTTTATAAAGCGCTATTTCCGCGATGTTCAACAGACAAAAGACAATAAAGACAAAATTACGCTACATTTTGACTTGGGTGTCAGTACAATGGCGATCCCTCAACGCCTCTCTACCCCTCAAAACTACCGCGATAATGAGAATAACAATCAAATAAAGCAATCATAAGTGTTTTATTGTTCGTGTCAATTATTGCTTAACTTGCCAGTTAATCGCGGCCAGAAATTAGTATGGGCGATGGCGAGGTTTTAAAGTATCGTCACTTCTACAGGGGGCCATGAAAATAAATGGTTGTCGTGAAATTGAAAAAATTTGAAATTGCTGTTGGACATGAATTTTTGGTCACAGTTTGAACCTTCGCCAGTTTGGGGGTTGGGCCGTCATAAAATTTATTTCCAGCTTGCTTTCGGTTCGATTGTAATACCCTGCTGGTAGTATTTGGAATTTAAATTAATTTAATTTTAATAATGAAATAAGTTTCCTCTGATCTGGACGACAATGAATCAATAACAAATCTTCAGAATATTTCGTTCTTAAATCTTCGAAGGTGTTCTTCTTCCATGTTCGCCTCGTCTCTAACTCTCCAAGGATTCTAAAATGTTGAAAGTGATGATCGGTTGGTAGGCTCATTTAAATCAATCAAAAACAACATCGTTATCTACATCTCTATCACCACAACCACCTTGGCCAGTGACGTATTTATTTTTTATTTATTTTAGTATTTATTTTTTAATTTTATTGTTTCTTTATTTGTTCATTTATACGTCCAATCATTTATTTTCAGTTTCATGTTAATTTATTGATCCTATATTATACTGCATATTACAGCGGCCCGCGAGGCCTTGTCTGCCAGACATTATGACCAAAAAAAGGAGCCACAAATCTTAAAAAAAATTTTCCCCCGGGTCGAAAATATTTGCTATTTAAGTACTCATGCGGCCCTTCAGAGGTAAAATCATTCTCAATGCGGCCCTCACAGCAAAAAGTTTACCCACCCCTGTTATAAGATGTTTCCAAATTTAAACACAAGATTTTGTTGTAACATCCTTTCTTTATTGATCATCAAATTTGATGGAAATGTCTCTTGACATCAATAACACGCGAGTAGTAACAATAGCAATATAAAAAAAATTTCAATTAATCAGTCGTAATGATCAGTTAATCTATAATGGAAAAAACTTATAAATATAACAAATGTAAATAAGTAACTTCAAAATAGCTTCAAATTAAATATATACACATATATATAAATACATTCTTATATATATAAATATTTATATACGAATAATAAATATACAACTACATGATTCGTTAATATTTACAGCAAATTAAGGCAAATTCTGATGAAAACAAGAGACAATGAGAATGAAGGCAAGACCAATAGTATGCTAATGAACGCTGGTATGATGTGTAAGGTATTCATTTATGTGTGTATGATTTCGGAATGTCGAAACAAGTTTCATAGCATTTTCTATCCCTTGCATCGCTGTAAGCTAATAACTTCATGCTTTCTCTTTCCGTATCACCGATGAAAGAATATTTGACAGCCAGTTCCTTAGCTGAGGTATCGGTCGGTTCGTCGGTTCGGTTCGAAATTGATTCTTCGACACTTTCCAGGCTCTTCGATTTTGTTTCAGGAAGGATGAAATAGGAGTAGAGGGCTCCTGCTAGGCAATCGACTGCAAATAAATAGAATGCGCCTGACTCGCCAAGAGCAGTGACAAGAGGATGGAAAAATAATATCGTTAGTGAACCGGCTAGTAATCCGATGAATGTCGAAGCACTCGATGCTACGGCTCTTATCGTCTGAGGGTACATCTCCGATAATATGATCGATGGAACGGTGCCCCATCCAAAACTGTAGCAGGCCAGGTAGCAACAAATTCCAGCAAAGAGCAGACTGGTCGGGACGGGATTCAAGACGATGGTTGGTGGCGTCTCTGGTGATGCTACTGCTAAGGAGGACACGTTCAATAAAGATGACGAGTTCAAAAAGTTTGTCACGTTCAAACTAGTTTCTGCCAACAACGCACTGCTGTTCATTTTTGCGATATGAAAGGCCCATCCCATGGCAATCAAACTGACGGCCTGACCAGTCCCTCCAACAATCAACAACAGCCTTCGTCCCAATCTGTCAACAGTGAAACTGGCAATGACAGTTGTTACGATTCTCAAACAGCCGACATAAACTGAAGCGTACTCTGCCGATCTGTCGTCCATGTTCGAAAATTTGAAGATGGACTTCATGAAAGCACTGACTGCTGTCTGACCGCACAAACCCTGCAGGAGCATCATAGGCAGGCAGATGATAAGTTGACGCTGAACACGTTTCAACTTTTTAAAGAGGATCCTCGCATGTACGTAGACGTTGCATTGTTTCGTTGATGTCACCCGTTCCAATGGCTCTGTCGGAGTTGACTCTATTTCTCCCTTCAATTCTTTTTTCTCTTTTTGTTTTGCTTCTTGTTCTTTCTGCTGCTCGTGAAGAATTTCCAAACATTCCGATCTCATTTTTTTGTTGAAGCTTTGAACCTCATCGTGCTGAAATTAAAATTTAAAAATTTCATTCATTTTCTTTAAAAATTATTTTTAGCAAACATAAAGTGTAATTTTGTACAGCAATTAATTCATATATAAAACAACAAATTAAAACAAACCCTCGCAACAATTTTGTCCATTTCATTGTTGACGTCACTTTCTGATTGTCCTTCTCTTAATAAGTTCAAAACTCTGAAAGCTTCTTTCAGATAGCCCTTTCCAACCAGCCAACGTGGTGTTTCATTCTGAGAAAACATTCCGAGCATGAGAGCCAGAGTCAATGCGGCCCCTACCAAAGCCAAATATCTGTTGTTCAAGTAGATTCCGAGAAAGTATGCGGCCGTGGTGCCCATAGATATGCACAGCTCGCAGACGCCACACATCATACCACGGCGTCTACTGTCCACTGTTTCTGCAATGTAGGTTCCGTAGGCTGAATACACCATCGCACTGCCGACGCCAGTGAAGAACCTACTCGTTATAACGGCTAGCCAGTAATCGCCGAATATTGCGATTAGCAGCCAGCCAAGTGCTTGAGGGATTGCACATCCAAACAAAACATCCTTCCTTCCCCACTTGTCCATCGCTGGTCCTGCAATTAAACATCCAACCATCCCACCAAAGAAAACCAAACTGCCATACAACGATACGTCACCCGTTGCCACATTCAAAATACCGTTGTTAACAAATTTCGTAACGCTCGGAGATGTATAACCGGTAGAAAAACCACGATTTATCGGCGCAAACAACGCTCCTATTACCAGAAACATTTATGCCCACGTTGGCTTATATGCTTCAAGTGAACACTGCTTTTTTCTCTCTTTATGTTCCTCACTCTCAAACTTTTTTTCATTTTCATTCTTTTTCTTTTTTTCCACCACTTCCACCGTTGAATCTACCGCCTCCAGATCTGCGATTGTATAATCTAAATCTGGCTTCATGATTGAAGTCGGTGAGGAAAGGCTGAGTGATGTTGAACTTTCTCTGAAGTTGGTTGAGGCCAATCTTGGATAGGCTGCCGAATATTTCACGCTGTGTTTCTGCATTAAATTAAAATAAGTTTCAAATATAGCTGCTTCATTATATCATTCAATAAGAGTTATTATGACAGAAAATTTTAAAAGGATGATCTATATTGCAACGGCATTTCAATATATTAAAAAAATCTTAAAAATATAAGAAAAGTTATTTACCGGCAGGAGTTTGGTCTTTTCACTCAAGATGTTCTCCATTCTGCAATTTTTTTGAATCATCATTCTTCCTTCTTTATTGGACGTGTTTGATAAAATTCGAGCTGATTATCAAATTTTAATATAACAAATAAAACCGACGAATTCAGTAAATAATTCAGCTTAAAAATAGATTAAATTGTTGATTAATTTTTTAATGATAGATAGCTAGATAGATAGATGCTTGATAACCACGTTTTGAGACATCCACTACTCCGGATCTTATATATAGGAACCGAGAAATCAATCAGGTCAAAGTTTGTCACGTGGGTTGTTCATTAAAATGAATCTAATTCTATGTTAGATAGATCTTTACAACCATCTTAATTAACATCATAAATGTCCATTATGTAGTTTCCACGACCGCTCTTAATTTTGAAAACCGCTGCAATACAAAGATGATAATAAAAATGAAGCTAATTAATTAATACTTCAGCATATTAATTATTAGTATTTTAATTCTTATTATTTCATTGATATTCTTAAATATTCTATTCGCATTTTTCATTTAATAAGATTCAAAGTTGGTACGACAAAGTGTTCGTGTATGTTTAATTTTTTATTTGTGTCGAAGTGTACCCACGTGGGTCTATACATGAATTTTAGCGCCTTCGAAAAATTGATTTAATTGACGCTTTTTAAATGTTCTAATAATTATAATAATAATGAATTGATAAATATTTTTTACCCTCAGAGTGATGGTTTAGCATTTATTAGTTTCTTTTTTGTTCATTTTTGAAAGGAATTATTAAAAATCAAATTCCCTCGTTGTTTCATTCATTCCTTTCTTCGTTCGTTTATTCGTTCGTTCATTCGTTCGTTCATTCGTTCGTTTGTTTGTTTGTTCATTCGTTCGTTTGTTTGTTTGTTCATTCGTTCGTTTGTTTATTCGTTTGTTCATTCCTTCGTTCATTCAATCATTTATTTAGAGTAAGAGGCATGTAAAAGTTTGAAGGATTTTATAAAATCTTCAAATTCCATTAATATTAGTACTACTTTCGAATTGTCATCATCAGGATTATATTACATTACGTAATATAAGAGAGAGAGAGAGAGAGGGAGAGAGAAAGAGGGAGAGGGAGAGAGAGAGAAAGAGAGAGAAAAAGAGAGATAGAGAGAAAGAAAGAGAGAGAAAGAAAGAGTGTATCCTATGTATGTTTGTGTATGTGTGTGCGTGCGTGCAGCATGCGTTTGTATGCGTTGTATAAATAAATGCCTGAAATAAAATTTAATGGCTTGAGATCAGTTGAATTCTTTCTCTAATTGCCGAACTCTCTTCAATCTGCTAATTATTTAACCCCCGTTATAATATCTCTTCTGAATTAAATTCCATCTCGCTATTATCGCTAAAGGACTTTGAATCATTTTCAGCGTCATCATCACGTCATCGCCTTAGTTTACAAGTTTACAACAGGGACTCTTAAAAAATTTGTGTTATCAGCAACAACAGCATCAACAACAACAACAACGACAAAAACAACAACGACAAAAACAGCATCTCACCACCACCAGCCACACCACCAACGACGACAAAATGTTTTCCTGGCTACCGAAGCGTCCCCACTCCAACCTCAACGACCACCATCTCAGTCCGACGAACCGGAAATTGTTGGCCGACCACTTGCAGAGGATGTACAAGGAGAAGCTGGCACCGTTGGAGCAGTACACAAGTTTCCACCACTTCCATTCCTTTCGGATCGAAGATTCGGATTTCAGTGCCAAACCCATGATTCTTCTAATTGGCCAGTATTCTACTGGCAAGACAACCTTTATTAGGTCTATCATTGAACAGGTCAGGTTTGGGTCGTCATTTTCGGTTAATTATCCTCACACAATCATCATCGTCGTCATCATCTCATCGCGATCAATACTATCGTTATCAGGATTACCCCGGTATGAGAATCGGTCCAGAACCGACAACCGACAACTTCACGATTATATCCGACGGGCCGACCGAGTCGATTATACCTGGGAATGCTCTGGTGTCTGATAAGTCCTTGCCCTATGGACAACTGGCAAAGTTTGTCGACTGAATGGTTGATTGATTGATTGATTGATTGATTGATTGATTGATTGATTGATTGGTTGGTTGATTGATTGATTGATTGATTGATTGATTGATTGATTGATTGATTGATTGATTGATTGATTGATTGATTGATTGATTGATTGATTGATTGATTGATTGATTGATTGATTGATTGATTGATTGATTGATTGATTGATTGATTGATTGATTGATTGATTGATTGATTGATTGATTGATTGATTGATTGATTGATTGATTGATTGATTGATTGATTGATTGATTGATTGATTGATTGATTGATTGATTGATTGGTTGGTTGGTTGGTTGATTGATTGATTGATTGATTGATTGATTGATTGATGAATTGTAAAGATGAATTGTAAAGAAAAATCGTAAAGATGAATGAACAAGAACTGTAAAAAAGAATAGTAAAGAAGAATTGCAATTAAAAATTGTAAAAGTAAAGAACAACTGTACAAAAAAATTTGTAAAGAAAAAATTTTAAAGATGGTTTGTAAAGAACATTTTTCAGTTCTCGGAATGCCCCATTGTGTAACAAATTTATTGTTTTTCCATAATAAACGAGCATTATTAACTTTCAAAAAGGGGTTAAAGACTCATCTTTTTAACAGGGGCTCCGGGTACCTCTGAAGCAGCTGTGCAAAGGGGCGCTTCATAAATGTTTATATTATTATTATTATTAATTACTAATTCAGTAATATCATCATCATACGCCATCTATTGCGACAGACATTCAAATGTATAATAACTATATTAAGACTGATTACATTTCTCGTTGTACGCATTTTATATCTATAATGGCGAGCATCGTAGACTACTTTCTCTTTTTAATTCATCTTATTTTATTTTATTTCATTGAATATTTATTTCGCCCCTTTTTTTGGAAAAAATAAAAGAGTTCCCATTATTATTAACTTCCCTAGATTCGGGAACGCCTTTCTGAACCGCCTGCAGATGTCCACGGTCCCATCTCCAGTATTGGAGAACGTGGTCTTCATCGACACGCCGGGTGTGGCAGCCGGCATGAAGCACCACAAAGTGCAGCGTGGCTATGACTTCACTGAGGTACCTACTGTTCTCTTTGCATTGCTCGAGTAGTACCGCGTTATAACTGATGTAAATGAATAAATTATTTACTGAATGATGAGTGAATAAATAAATTATTGAATAATGAATAAATTATTGAATACTGAATAAATAAATTATTAAATAATAAATAAATTATTGAATAATGAATAAATGAATAAATTATTGAATAATGAATAAATAAATAAATAAATTATTGAATAATGAATAAATAAATAAATTTATGAATAATAAATAAATTATTGAATAATGAATAAATAAATAAATTTATGAATAATAAATAAATTATTGAATAATGAATAAATAAATTATTAAATAATAAATAAATAATAATGATTAATATTAATTAATTAATTTATAAATAAATAAATAACGAATATACAACTGTGATATTTGGGGGTTCACAGACAAAATAGCGCCATTATTTTGACGCCATTTTTCAAAAATTTGTTGTTCCCTATTGTCACAAGATTGTTCTCAGCGCCATATTTACACGAGGTCGTACGATTGCAAACATACTCGCGTGTGTTTTATGTGTTGTATGCCTTTTATGTGTTGTATGTGTTGTATGCCTTGTATGTGTTGTATACCTTGTATGTGTTGTATGCCTTGTATGTGTTGTATGCCTTGTATGTGTTGAAGTGTTCGAATTGTGAAAAAAAAGTAAGGGGGTCATAAGGATTGGCGGGTGAAGTTTTGAATGTACGGGGTCAAAATTTGACTCCCAACATTAAAATTAAATGAATGGTGAAGGGTCTTATTTTAGAGATAGGGGGGTAAAACCAACCCCCCAACCCCCCCATTAATTCGAACCCTGATGTGTTGTATGCTGGTGTACCTGGTCTTTTGCCAGGGCTTATCGCGAATCCCTTCAGACGATTTCGAAATGTAGGAAGAAAAAAAAATAGGTGAGGGACCATGACACCATATTAAGAACAATATTTAGAACTGTTTAGCAGCCTAATAGTAATTACTAACAAGAACTGTTTGTAACGTAATATTAATGGTAGTATTAAGAACCGTTTTGTAGCGTATCGTTGGTCAACAGTATTAACATCGAACTGAAGCGTGAGTATTGAAGATATTTATCCTCATATATTTGATATCCGTCTTGCTGCTGTTGTTCTTCTCTTCTCTCTGGAACTCTCTACCTACTTCTCTGACTACTTCTCCATCACTTACGAAGTTCAGAGCGGATCTCATGACCCATCCGTTTTCAAAATTCATTGAGGAGCGCTGTTGAACATCGCGGAAATAGCGCTTTATAAGCTAATTGATTGGTTGATTGATTGATTGATTGATTGATTGATTGATTGATTGATTGATTGATTGATTGATTGATTGATCGATCGATCGATCGATCGATCGGTCGGTCGGTCGGTCGGTCGGTCGGTCGGTCGGTCGGTCGGTCGATCGATCGATCGATCGATTGATTGATTGTTTTATGTTGAAATAGTAGTTATCTCCGAATGTAAGCTATTCACGGCAGAGATTTCGTCGCGAAATTTTGGAGCTGTTTTAAGTTCTGATGGGTCACCTTATTTTGGTACTTACACGACCTACGACTTTAAAGATAGATTGACCTTTGACCTTTAACCCTTAATTGTATTTGTCTTATTCGGATGTTGTACTGTGGCAGTATAGCGGTAGAGGGCTTGTTACTTGTGACGCAAGCTTACCGGCTTCGAATGCAGAGGTATTCTTGTCCGAATAGGTCTGACGACTTGACTGAGGTATCATGTTTTGAGCTATTTTGATGTTATTTTGCAATGGTATTGTAGCACTGAAGTACCTAGCAAAGAAGAAATACACAGGCAAAATTAGAGGATGTATAATCGTTGTCTTTGGCGGCATTTAATTTAGTTCGTTTATTTAAAGTGAAATCTCCACTCTTAAAATAATAATAACTAATAACAATAATAATAAAAATAATAATAATAATAATGGGAACACTTTTTTATTCAATCAAATATCATAAAACATACAGAATAATACAATATTCATTATAATAATAATAATAATAAAAATAATAATAATAGTACTTATTAATAATTATTTTTAAATTGAATCTGTAAATTTGTTCGGTTTTTTAATATGCCAAGTATTTGAAGAATTTAGAGAAACTTTTATACTATTGCCATAGTTATTATTATCGCTATCACCATCATTATTATTATCATTATCATCATCATCATCATTATTATTATTATCATTATTATCCTCATTTAATTACTTCAATTTGTCTTTAATTAAAATTGGCTGGACCGAATCTTTTCGCCAAAGTTTAATTAGCAGTGTGATACCATCATCATATTATGTCCTCTGTAAGTGCGATTGTTTCGCGTTATATACTTTTATATTTATTCAATTTTAAGATGGTTTATTAATACTTAAATAATTCAATTAATCTTATTTTTTTTTCTTATTTATAAAACTATCATTATTTCATTGTGAAATGTAAACATTTCTTTTCTATTTATAACTTTTGGTGCAAATTTTATGGTGGCCCAACAAGTCATATCTTCGGGTCTTCTAGCTTTTTTGCTGAATAAATTCATTATTGAATTGATTTGAATTGAATCATATTGTGATCGGGACAATGCCTGAATCAAAATTTTCATAACTATCCTATTAGAGCTGTATTTATTTCATTTCAAATGAAGAACAATGATGATTATGATTTCATTTTAACCATGATTATTATTATTCTTATTATCATCATCATTATTATTATCATTATTATTTTTATTATTATCATTATTATGATCCACAAAATGGTTAAACTTTTCATCTCACTTACGACTGAACAATAATTTGTCAATATCTCCAATTCGTTAAGAACGAAATTTCCAACTAGTTTTTTTGGTTTTAAGATCTATCAACAAATTTTCTCTCTCTCTCTCTCTCCATCTCCTCTTTCTTTCACTCTCTCTCTTTCTCTCTCTCTCTCTCTCTCTCTCTCTCTCTCTCTCTCTCTCTCTCTCTCTCTCTCTCTCTGTCTCTCTCTCTCTCTCTTCAATGAAACCAATCGAGGGAGGAAGAAGTTTAAATTTTTTTTAAAATAAGATTAGATCGTGGGAGATGACGTTGTGAGAAAAATGTGTTTACAGAACACACGCATCAACACGTCTGTGTGTTTGTGTGTGTGTTTGTGTGTGTGTGTGCGTGCGTGTGTGTGTGTGTGTGTGTGTGTTATTGTTGTTAACGTCATCTTCGTCATCTTCATCATCGTCGTCTTCATCATCGTCGTCGTCATCTTCACCTCCACCACCATCATCACCATCATCATCGCCAGGTCATTGCATGGTTCGCCAGTCACGCGGACCGGGTCATCTTGTTTTTCGACGCCTGCAAACTGGACATCTCTGATGAGTTCAAGAAGGTCATTGAGATCGTCAGAGGTCAGTTGGTTGGTTGGTTGGTTGGTTGGATGGTTGGTTGGTTGGTTGGTTGGTTGGTTGGTTGGTTGGTTGGTTGGTTGGTTGGTTGGTTGGTTGGTTGGTTGGTTGGTTGGTTGGTTGGCTGGTCGGTCGGTCGGTCGGTATTGTATTGTATTGTATAGTATTGTATTGTATTGTATTGTATTGTATAGTATTGTATTGTATTGTATTGTATTGTATTGTATTGTATTGTATTGTATTGTATTGTATAGTATTGTATTGTATTGTATTGTATTTGTAGAAGTTCTTACAATATCAACGTAAAATAGACAAACTTTTGCCATTCCTGCTACTTGTTTAGTTCTAACTAGGGATTAGCTATTGTAACAATTGGCTCGTTCATTCAATAATCAATTATAGATTCATTTATTCCTCCAATCAAGCAATCAAATAACCCTCATCCAACCAACCAATCATCAAACCAACCAACTATCCATCCAACCAACCAACCAATCATCAAGTCAACCAAATAACTATCTATCTAACCAACCTACTATCCATCCAACCAACCAACCAATCATCCAACCAACCAACCAACCATCCAACCAATCAGACAACGACGAAAAAATTCGCGTGGTCTTCAACAAGGCTGACCTACTTACAGAGCAGGAGCTGATGCGAAGCTACGGGGCCATAATGTGGTTTCTAGGTCGGGCATTGCCCTTCCCAGAGCCGTCTAGACTGTACGTCTCGAGTTTTTGGTCTGGCGAAATGAGGTCAGTCGAGAACAGGGCACTCCTGGAAAGCGAGGCGCAGGTCGGTTTGAGTGGGGGCGATGGTAATGATGATGATGACGATGATGACGACGATGATGATGATTATGACGATGATGATTATGATGACGATGATTATGATGATGATGATGACGATGATGATGACGATTGTTCACATTTTCAAGGACTTGTACCAAGACCTGCAAGCCCTTCCAAGGTCTTCTGCCCTCAGAAAGATCAATGACCTCGCCAAGAGGGCCAGACTTGTCAAGGTCAACATTGTTATTATTGTTATTATTATTAATTTCTTCTTCTTCTTATTATTATTATCATCATCATCATCAATTATTATTATTATTAATTTCTTCTTTTTCTTCTTCTTTTTTTTATTCATCCTTGCGCCTGTATGTGAGCGAGTGATGAGCATGGATGGCTGTAAACATTTTTGTATATTCGTAGTGATTGGTTTCATATTTTGAGGTTTGGTGATGGTGGAAAGAGTTTCCACCATGGTTGATGATGATGATGATGACGATGATAGTGGTGGTGATAATGGTGACGATGAAGATGGTGAATATGGTGACGATGAAGATGACGACGATGATGATGAGGATGATGATGATGGTGATGATGGTGGTGGTGATAATGGTGACGATGAAGATGACGACGATGATGATGAGGATGATGATGATGAGGATGATGATGATGGTGATGATGGTGGTGGTGATAAT